TAGTATATATATTGTACAGTTTGTCTTGTAGTATGTATTTAATACAGTTTGTCTTGTAGTATATACAGTATATTATACAGTTTGTCTTGTAGTATTATACAGTTTGTCTTGTAGTGTATATATTATACAGTTTGTCTTTTAGTATATATATTATACAGCTAACACTGTCAGCTGATGGACCTACATGTGTGTTTCTCCTCCAGGCTTGTGCTGCCTACAGTTTCATCACCATCCCGTCTCTCAGCAGCATCTTCAGTCGACTCAGCCTCTACCTGCTGTCTGGTCAGGCTGCGCTGGCCAACCAGTGTCTTTCTCAGGGTCAGCAGCTGATTGGTTTTTTTTTTTATCTGTTCTTCACCTCTTTTAAACTTTTTCTTCTTTTCTTATGTTGCTTAATGTATATCACTAGATATACATACACCTCATTAACTTTTGGAGACAACCCTGTACAAAGTGGATGCTCCGTCAACTAATTGAAGAAAACACACAAACAAGTATGAGTCAGTTTATCTGGAGTCTGACCTAAAATCTGGTGTAGTAGTAGCTGAAAACATTACCAACACACTGTACATCTGACATATTTTCAGTTTCACTTGCTCTCTTATTGAAAATAATTCTAGTGTAAAACTGGGACATGAAAGGTGGAACACGTTTCTTCTTGCTGTTGTGTTAAGATGTTTTTCTATTCTTTTTGACTCCATGTTTTGTGACGGTCTTCCAGCCGATGCCTTCCTGAAGGCAGCGGTCAGTATTCTCCCTGAGGTTCCTCGCTCCATCAACGTGGAGGGGAAACTTCGTTCCTCTGAGAACTTCCTGCTGGACTTTATCAATAACTTCTTGGCCACGCTGCTGGTTGTCCCGGTAATGCTGTTCGTCCTTTCATAAGGGAAACACCAGAGGTTCTGGTTCCCTCTCTGATGACGTGTCCCCTGTGTCTACAGGACCATCCAGAGCACGGGGTGCTCTACTTGGTTCGTGGTCTGCTCAACATGGTTCAGGACTACACCTGGGAGGACAACAGTGATGCTAAAGTGCATGTGTACATCAGTGCTCTGCCCCTGTTGGCTGCCATGAGCCAGGAGACCTATCTCTATTCCATCCCCAACAGTAACGACACACACACACACACACACACACACACACACACACACACACACACACACACACACACACACCAAATTGTTTTTATATCCTACTGGGGCCCACACACACACATCTTTGTACTTTCATAAAACTGAGGACATTGTATTGACTTCCATTCATTTTGTAACTGTATTTATTCCTAACCCAGACATTTTCCCTAAAATTAACCATTACTGGTCTATAGTTAACTCTAACCTGAACCAGAACATAACTCACACTATACCTCTAAACCTAACTAGTAAAATTTACCATTACTGGTCTATAGTTAACTCTAACCTGAACCAAAACTTAACTCACACCATACCTCTAAACCTAACTAGTAAAACTAACCATTACTGGTCTATAGTTAACTCTAACCTGAACCAAAACTTAACTCACACCATACCTCTAAACCTAACTAGTAAAATTAACAATTACTGGTCTATAGTTTAGTTCTGGTTCAGGTTTAAATTAACCCTGGTTTTGCTCTTCCTTCCTGATGTTTGACTGTGGGAGACTCCTTGATGAGCAGGACAGATCCACCTGTTGGCTGGATGATGTGGCCAGTTTTTGTTGTTTTGCTGCCATGATTTGTGCCTCAGGACTGTCCTCCAGTCCAGTCCTCTGTAGCCACTAGTAGGATCTGTTGATATTATCTGCAGGGGGTACATTTCTTTCTAGATGGTTCTGCTTGTTCCTCAGCTTCCACATTGTGTTTCTGCTGCCTGAGACACTCATCAGTTCATCATTGGAGACGTTCTTCCTGATGTGCTCCAGGATCCTAGTTGTCTCATCCTGTGCAGTGACTATGATGCTCACTAGTCGTCTGCTTCTGTCCTCTCTCTCAGGCTGCTGGATTTGAGGTGAAACCCTCCAGACATTGTGAGGAGCATTTGAGTCTGAATGTCAGTGGCTTCTATGTCCTCCTTTGTCCAGGGTATTCCACCTGCTGGGTGTGTGATAACAGACACTGCCTGATACTGTTTGACTAACAGTCCAGTGTCCTTGCTGTAAATCCTGATGAGGTGGATCAGTGAGTTGATGTCTCTTTCATTTTCAGTGAACAGCTTGATGTCATCCACGTAGAGTAGATGACTGATGATTGCTCCACTTTGAAATTAGTATCCATAGCCATGACCTGTTACTGCCTGCAGTCGGCCTGTAGAGTTGTCTCCTACACCTCACTGAAGGCTCTTGGTGTCCTGTTGATGATGTAGACTTTGAAGCACTCCAGTATTAGTGTGGTATTGAATCATAGGCAACAGAAGCAGAATGTGAATACTTCTGCAACCCACTGTAATACAGTGGTTTGCAAAAGTATTCATACCCCTTGAACTTTTCCATATTTTGTCACATTACAACCACAAACATAAATAT